TTTCTCCAAGGCTTAGTCCTGGGGTAAGCAAACCAGCCCTTTTGGCGGAGCTGCTGGACCTAGCTGCACCACTTCGTCATCACTCTCCTACCGTACCGACCGAGTTCAAGTAGTCCGTCGACCTCGGGGACCCCATCCCCTCCCCAACATTCAGCATACGGCCCCAGCAGAAACGCCAAAGGGCTGGTTTGCTTACCTCCCAACCTACCCTTGACCGTCCATAGCGTGGTTTTCGTAAGTTTGTTGCTCTTCGTAAATTGTACACCTTGTCCCTAGTGATCACAATTGACATATTAATGTTTGAAAAAAGTGCAAGAATTTTCCGGGTACGATTCCTTCAACCAAAATCACTGTCCAAATTTCAACTTTGTAAGACTTGTGCAGCAGTGGCTGATCCATGTTGTTCTTCGTGTCAAAGGTCACCAGCGATTCAAGCTGAAATTTAAACTCGTGCGTTAATCAATACCTGCTACTATTCCGTCCACCAGTATTTATAACGACTTATGGATTTCACTGCATACAATACTAAAATGTTTGAAGGTTTATTTACAACTTCATTTATTAAAAATATTGGCAATATGTTAAAACTCTCTATATCCTATAATTTCGCAAAACTACGAGGAATGTCTCGACTCTTCTTGGATCTGCTTCCGAACCATAAATACTTTCTCGATACCCTGAATACCTCATAATAAAAACAAAACAATGGAGCACAGGTGATTAAACAACGACTAGCTTTTTACGGCACTTATACTGAACTCACCTCTTTGAAACAGTTAAAGTTATAATCGATCAATCCCTGTTTCTCAAAATTTTCGCCACGTATAACACAGACAAGTGCCAGATGCTTATTCAATTGCCGAAGAAACATCACCTGCAAAAACAAAACGATCAAAACGTTAGGTAAATGCAATGCAAAACATGGAAGCGGTACTAGAAAACACCTGAAACTAGATGGAGACCGATTTACCTGATCAGTTTTGAGTCGGATAACAGCATACGAGTTATCGTCGAACGGACTTACCACTTCACCGTCTTTCTCCTTGGCGCTGAATAGTAAACGCAGTTCTTTAGAGTACTGGTGATAAAGTGACAAGTAGCATTTCTAACTATTGAATACTAGTGAAATTACATAACTGACACATGAAACTAAAGGAAGAAACGAACCCATAAATTCCAGAAATGTCAATGGTAACGTCAATCATATCGCAACATAGCTCATAGGCCGCCATTTCCACCGGCGTCGTGTCCGTTGCAATATAAATTTTCGAAGCAACATCGAATAAAAATGACTTCTCAACATTTGATCCCTAAAATGTGATAAAAAAGGATAAAAGGATAAAGCATTTGCCGTTGATCAATCCCTTTTTGGGATGCGGCACGCATTCTACTTCCATTTGTACATTCGTAGTGGCGTTTGAATGCGATGTGGCCTATACAATGACTTGCGGGGGCCAGCCGATGTACAAGTCAGTGTTTTTATCCTCCCAGACAAGTCTGGTACCAATTAACCGACCCCGGAGGGATGGAAGGCTTGGTTGGCCCGGGCGACTCACGACCCAGGATTTGATCCCCGGACCGCTCGCGTGGTAAGCGTGCCACTTGCCACTACACCACTTCCGCCCCTAAAATGTGATAGCTATGGATATACATCGTATAATCTGATGCTAAGACGTTAAGCGACATATAGGAATCAAATTTTTCTTATAAAAACCAAATTCACCATGAATAGTTACCGAATAAAATCAATGATGAGAGCCGATAATAAGAAAAGGTTATGTAAACTAGAAGTATACCAACGGAAGAGGGAAGGGGGTCTTGAAAAGGAAACAGGTAGAGGACTTACTAAACTACGATTCACCGATACCCTCTACGACTCGAGAAGTCCCATACAAGTTTCTTGCATGCTATATTTGACCAAATATATGATAAGCTTTGGTTGCCCTCTCGACGCTACATATATTACTATTACTAATTAACATTATTACTGTTACTTCGTTAGTAACTACCTGGTTGAAAATGTCGAGAAGCCTCTCAAGCGTGGGAAGCCGTTTAACCAAGTTCTGTACAACTTTCGAAAACGCTTCAAATATTGAGTGGTCGTAAATAGACGTCAAGTGGAATGTCACATTAAAATCTTCCAATCCCTGCTCAGCAAGTTCGCATTTCACCTGAAATGAGAAACAAAAACTAGGTGTTCAGTGGGAGTTAAAAACAGTACACTTTTATAAACATAGTAGTTGAACAAAATACGAGCAAATGCTAACCCGATGGTAGATGTCATATTGAGCATCAACGCGGCTTTCTTCTGTTAAACCATCAGCCTGAAAAAAAATCATTATGCTTGCCGTTATTTCTAAGGAAAACTGCTTGCACACAGGGAGAAGGTCGTTCACGCCAAATGTTTTCCAGAACAATAACAAAATGACGCAAGAAAAAAAAGCACAATCATAAAAAACATGGGTATGGTAAATACCTTGTGTATAAATACTTCAAACTTTATGTTGGGGTTGATCCGAAAAGCTTGTGTGAAGTTCTCCGACATTTTTTTCAGAGAGTCCACATATTCGTCTTGAGCATCAACAATGAATAGCAACGCTCCTATTAAAAATCAATTGACAACAAGTTAAACAAACGTAATGTGTCACTTCCTTGAATAATGTAAATTTAAGTATGAGCTTATTTCTCAATAGTAGACTCAAATATGATAAAAAAGGCAGAGATGTCTCAAAAAAAAGAAAGCGGAGTGTCAAAAACACAGACTAAAAAAAGTTAGGCCATTATACACTCTGGGGAATGGCATCAAAGAAGAACACTCTAGGGAAACCAAGAGGATGAGTTTTTCGCGAACAGAGAGAGCACCGTGATGCGACAACACTTATCACGAAATGCGAAAACCTATTTCTGCACAAGATGAGTCGTTTACCCACCCTGAAGGTCTTTATTTTTGAGATTGGGCAAAACACATCCACTAGAAGTAGAAAAAATGCGCTTAGACACTACTCTTCATGTTGGGATGTACCAAACAAAATTTTAGAAACTCAATCTTTTCGATAGGAGGAGTAAAAAGTAATCTATGGAAGTATGAATTGAAGTTCGAGAGAAAAGAGTGAGAAGAACAAACCACATCGCTTGAATGTTGCCACAGGGTCGAGTGAGCTGTCGAATGGGTCCATCTGACCAGGAAATTCCAACGTTTCAAAATTTATAAATGAAGAAGCGATCACTGAAAACCATAAGACGTAATCTGCGAAAGACCCACATGGAAAAGACTGGTCTCAGGATTCTGTTAACCGTGAGCCTAGGCTATTAAGCTCTTGTTTTGCTGCCTGGGAGCTGTAACGCATGCATACAACGACAGCATCTGTTGTTTTATTCCCTTTCAAAGGCTTAGTCTTAGGCTGTGTCAGAGTCCGCGATCCGTCGCAGGTTTCGCTGATTTTCGCGATTTGCGCGAAACCTGCGACGGATCGCAAAAATTGCAAGTGTGTGAACATTTGAAACACTGAATATGAAACAAGTGGAATCATGAGCAGTCGTCATTCAGCCATCACTATCAAGCAGAAGTGGCGGCAGGATTGGAGAACACCTTGCAGTATTGATCGGGCACTTGTGATTTCCGTGACCCGTCGCGTGAATCGCGCAAATCGCGAAAATCAGCGAAACCTGCGACGGATCGCGGACTCTGACACCAGCCTAGTTCTTTACAAGATATACGCTTGTCCATACCTACTTCTCACCCTTTGCTTGACAGAAACCTTGCAACCGAAAGATGTAAACATACCATCTTTTGTAACACGAGCAGTACTTTCAACGAAAAGCGTTTCGTTTGGTGACATTTTTTGGAACACTACCTTTCGTATGGAGGTCTTCCCACTCCTGAAATAGCTTCCACTGAACTTCCTTTTTTTTAAAGAATTATTTGTGAATGGACTTGTGATAGGATTTGGAATTATTGCAGCATAAGTTATAATGAAAATCTATGCCACCAGCTCCTTTCATAATATTTCCGAATGTTATTGGTCTATTGGCTTTCTAGCGGCTTCAGATAAGAAGACGGCAATCTCATTCAACTCGTCTACCTTATACCGACTGATAACGCAACCGTGGTGCTCAAACGGTAGAAAATGAGAATACGAAAATGAGCTGTGACCGAGAGTGAGGTAAGGGTCCACAAACCCTCTCGCGGTGGAAGATGAGCCCTTTGGAATGCGAAAATAAATGGATACTCAACAAACCCGGTTTTAGGAAAACTCGATCAGAAGAAGTATATTTGTGAGAATTTGTTAAATAATCTCAAAGAACATTCCCAAGAAATGACGATGTCCTTAGGGGTGGGCGAGGGACATTCAGAACAGGGCATTCAAAAACCGCTGGATAGGTGACACTAGGACTAAGCCCAGGACTGGGAATAAATACAAGGGAGAACGATGGTTGCTCACAAAATCCTTCCCCTCCCTAAAGCTTAGTCCTGAGTTCTATCAGTGGCCCGCTCACTTCGATGTCTCCCCCACCCCCAAGGTCATGAGCGCCGAAATGACTTCTTTGTAAAAAAAAACGCCCAATTAATGGGTTGAATAGCTTATCACAAGAACGTTGAGTTATGGACAAACAATTTAAAACAGATAGAATAGCGCACAAAATAGTGAACGAGCGTCTCACCTCTTCTGGCCCATTAGCACTACCGTTGGTCTCGCTTCGCCATCATTACTGTCGTCCAATCCATAGGAATAATCTCCAGCATCGTCATCATCTTCATCATAAAACGTGGCCATTGAGTTACATCAATCCTAAAGAAAAAACAATCAGGTTCTGACAACTGAGGTCAATGGTGCAAACTGCACGGAGAAGCAGGAAAACAAAATACAAATAGAAAATGTGCCCAAATCTAAGCAAGTGCCGTATTGTGCCAGAAACCAACACGATTGTCGTCGTCAGTTCGATGAGTTGGTGTGTAACACCGACAAACATTCTAACTGACGCCCATTAATCGCTGTTCGAGAGCAGAGGATTTTTCGGTGAGGGGATAGAATACCACAGACTTCACAAGTGGGATAGTGGAGGAGGTTACAAAAGGGAGAGAAGTAGTGGCATTAGTCGGCTCCTGCGAACACCACAAGCTATACCATGCATGGCTTGTGGATCCCTTCTAAGCAAACTGATCTTAAATCCCCTCACGGTCAGTCAGTTGGCATGTCTCGACGACCTAGTGGGAGAAAGGGGGGGGGGGATTTTTGTGCAGCAATGCCGGAGCACGTAATGTTGAAAAGGGCAGGGTTTTCAACCTAATTGAAAAATTGTCAACCAAAGAGGGGGTTGTTTTTTGGAGGGATGTCTACTGCATCGTTGAAGACACTGATGGATTGGGAACTCTGAGGTGGAATTTTTACACAGGTTTTAGGAATTTCGATTTTTTCCCCTGTTAGCAGTTGTACTACACTCATAATCTAAGTCACTCCCAACTTTTAGATTCGGAGCACTAAAAATAAATTTCAAATTTAGAATTTTTTCACAAAAGCCTAGACTTAAAAACCGAAATGAATGCATGGCCATAACAATGAATTCTTGCCTTTCATTCCTTTGTGTGGATTGTGAGATCACCACATCGACACGTAGGATATCCGCATGTCTCATTTTTTACTCAGTAACACGAGGGGGCCTCTAGAAACTGGTGGATTCGCAGGTTGGTTCAGCAGTCGCTGGGAACGTTTGTTTCGCAGTATTTTGTGTTGTGAGAGCTGAGTAAAATCAGTGAAATTAAAATTACTCCTCACCTTTTGTTACGCAAAGCATGGATGGCTACCCGTAGAACTCTTTCTGGTTCGACTCGAAGAAGTTGGGCACTCAAATTTTGACGTCGTCGCGGTTATCGAATTGGTTTGCTGCTAAGGAGTGTTGCGCTGACCTGGGTCAGTGATAGTCGGACGGCGCCAGACCTGGGCTATATGGCGCGAGAGGCAGAGCGTCCCAGCCCAACTCCTCGATTTCTTGTTGCAAGATTTTCGCGACATGTGGTCTTGCATTATCGTGCCATAATTTTTCATTGGCCGAATTTACCCTTTGACGACGCGGAGCTCGGCCCACGTGGTGGAGCTGTTATACGCAGAGTTCAGCTGTAACTGTATAACCCACAATCAGCATTCCGTGGTACACCGTTGCTATACTATATCACCATATAAAAACATGACTTTGTTTCCGTGGATGTCTGGTTTCGAAGTCACCCTCAGCTGTCCATCAGCCGCCAACCACGGTCGTCTTCTCGCGTTGTTATTGGGAAACATCTCTTTGTAAAATGCGGTCAACACGAAGTCAAGAACCTTTTTCCTCTTGAAGTTATGGAGCGAAGTTCCAGTATTGGCAACCAGTACTGCTTGCTCGCGTCGCTCAGAATAGGCCGAACCCATTTTCTATAAAGCCACGAGTCAGGATTAGGTGACCATAGAAGGCCTTTCCATCACTAAAATTTCCAGGAATGCGCTCAGAGGGGTGTTGCCGCACTCCTGACTCGAGATTGCGCGCCGTCAAGGTTTCTGGCCTACAACTTATAGCGATGGGTTTGTTACATCAGCTGGTCCCGCCCACCGCGGGATGTGGTGCGTGGCTGGCCTAACGTGTGAGATCAGCTAGGTTGATTGCCGTATCAACCGATGGAACGGCTGGCATATCCGGAAAACTCGTTTGGACGTGGCTCTCCCCCGAGCAAGCCTCCTTCACTGCTAGAAAGGAAGGGGTTTCGATTTCGGTCTTGTCGACGGTTTCTTTGCGTTTTTTCTTCACTGTCGTTCCACCTCCCATCTCTACACTCAATTTCAGGCGCCATAATGCCCAAACACGAGCCTGACTTTTGCCTTTAAAACCTTAACAATCCCACGTAGAGAACTAATTAAATTGCTTTTGAGCGCACTTGAATCTCATGCGAGTCTTTGTTTGGTTGGTTCGTCGAGGCTCGACTTCGTTGGCTTTCTTTATTCTTCCGATTCAGTTCTAGAGTTAGAGTCAAAATTCACGATCTCGTCGGTAGGTCCTTTACTTGGAAGAGCTGAAACCATAGCTGAAAGTGCATCAGAGACTGGTGTTACTGCTCAATGTTTTGCACACAATGAGTGGGATTCGTTGGCCGTTTTTCGTTGCTTGAATATATACGCTTAGACGATGATTTCTGATCAGTCATCTTCGAGCAAAGTTTTGGACTCAAAGAACATCCGCGCAGTGTCACTTAAAATTTCGCAATATGCGCGCTGAATTGCTCTCTCATCCAAGAAATTGTGTTTAGGCTGATGATGAGAAGCAAAGGCAGAAACGGAAGCAACATTTCAAGTCTTGCCAACCTAATAGTTTGAACCAGTTTAGCTCCGCTCGTTACCGCGCGCATCTCAAGGTGGGCTTCAGTAAAACTGGACATGTTGGTGAATATTAGATCACACGGCAGAGAAACCAATTGTAAAGTTAAAATAAATGTTTAGAAGTTGTTCAGCTTCGCTGAAGCCTATCGCGCAATAGCTACAGAATGAAAATTGTGATTACCACGACCTCGTAAACATCTGGCATAGTTTTCGAATTCGGATAATTCAGCGGTTCAACAGATTTTGTTTGCTGTTAGTGTGCTGTTTGAATTATAAATCGGATCAATTGGCACCTAACCTAACTTGATGAGAATTCTCCAATGTTCCCAGGCCAGATAGTTAAGCGACCCAATAACCTCTGCTTCTCTTGGTGAAGGGTTAGCTTGGAACATGTTCATTTGCTGAGAACCCGGTACAGTTAACTGAGTGCCGTCACAGTTGCGCTGCTTTTATCCCGCCAACTTGATCGCAAGTGATCATTGCTACGAAGTTGGAGATATTTGCATTCAGCTGCCACTTGTCGGTCCTTATTATGTGTTACCAGTCATATCGCTCCCTATCAGTGTTTCCCTTCCGATCCCTAGAACCATCTGCATCTGCAAGAACCACTGCTCTACTGTGATCGCAGAGGCGGCAACAAAATCGGTGGTGCTCGCACTCTGACGCCTTTCATCAGTTATCAGTTGCTACTACTTTCATTCACCCACCCTTGGTCCGTGCTTCACAGCGCATAACACACAGGAGTACAGGAGTTGTCATGAACTCCTGTTCATGATGTCATTATCGCCCGCCCCTTCGCACCGTATAAAACGGCGGTGATATGTCGGCGTGGAGCGCTGTTATCGGTCAGTCATACTTGGTCGCCTCCGTCTCTATGACGAGTACCTCGGACGTTGCGGACCCGCGGAGTACGGTTGTTAGATTCCAAATCATTACAAACTGTTTATGTATTCTCTACTGTGGTAGATTTGGGTGCTATATATTTGGTACGAAGACATACGTTGAGTAAATAAATGGTGTAAACGCTGTTAAGACAAATGAACCACCAAAATCTTATCTGGGAAATGATGCGCCCAGAACATGGTGCATCGGCCGAATTCAAGTTCCAACTTTATAATTCAATAAGACAACTAACAGTACCTACCACCTTACTCACGCAATCCCCTTTTTTATATGCTATTTTGCGCGCATAGCATACCGGTTGTACCCTTTCGTGGGATGTCTTGATTCGGTCGTAGATCTAACCTTTTACATCTCAAAATTGTGGCCACGATTTCAACCAATTTGAAAAAAAGTTCAACAATCACTATGAGAAAAATCAACATTCTCGTTCGTGCAAAATCAACCAAAATCGAGAAGAGCAACCCGGTGGCAGCCCGATAGCGTGCCCTTCTGATGTGAGAGAGGAACATACTCCCAGAAAACCCGGTGTCAGACCGAAATTCTGACCGAATAAAGAGTAGTTAGCCGGCAGGATTTGAATAATATCGTTGAACAAAAAAATACAAATCTAGTAAACAGCTTGTTCGAGAAAAGATATGGAAAAAAGGGAAGCGGATCTCATCGGCAGAAATTTTCCCTGCTTGTTCTCAATTCAAAATTAGCACCCGCTTCGCGAAACCACATATAATTCCAATCCAATTGTTTTGAACACAGAAAGCCAAGGAATTTCATTGCGAGTCCCTAGAATGGAGCACCTCAAATCCCACATCCTTTACCGCAACCTATAGCTTCGAGGCAAAGACTCATATCAAAATGTACGGAATTCAACATTTCTCAGAGAAGAGCCTTGAGCATAAATTCTCTCAAAACAAAATACCTCCTCCGCAAAACAAACTCTGTGCTTGAAAGTTTTCTCGAGATAAAAGAAAAGATAAAAGTCAAGAAGCTTTCAGATACTTCAAAACAAAATACAATCTCAACACAACTATCGAAAATTTAATCTTCGAGAAAAAACAATAGCCAACTTCAACATATATAAAAGCTGCAATGCCGTCTTGCCATTCGATTCTGTTAACAACAGACGTGCTCATCGAACTTCATGCCTTCAACCGTCGCTTCACTTCGGACATCCTCGACCATGTCCCAAAAATTTCTCCTGAAAAATGTGAAGCTCAAGATGACGATTAACCTCAACTACCTCGCTAGCCTCATCGCAGAAGCGAATGAATACCGGGAATGGGAATTCCCTAACACCATACCCAACCTAGAGCTCTTCCTTCTCTCAAAGCGACAGCGACTCCAAAATTCTGATTTCAACAATAAATAGCCGCAGGAATGCATTAGTGAATATTACAATAATTGCAACAATACAATAGACGACCTCCTATTGCAAGAAGAACAGTCCAAAGTCGAACAAGAATTCGACAACTATTGGATAGAGAAGAAGGGAGAGGCACTGCTCCAGGAAGCAGCTAGAGAAAAGACTAGTAGAGCTTGAATTTCAAGAAGCTATTATGAAACAAGGCATCGCAAAGAAAGCTAGCCAAGAAGCTTCAATCCCAACGAGCTACCAATGGAATCCCAATTCAACAGAAATGCAATCCAGCCAGATCCACCTATTGCGCCAACAAGCCGATATATGTTGGAAAGACGCCTCCTAGGTGATGAACTCAAAATACGACAATTCATTGGCAAGCCTTCAGAATTTGGCCCCTTTTGGGAGCTCTTTGAAGAGCTAGTGCGTAAACAACCATATTCCAATATAGAAAAGCTTTCAATGCTTCTTAGCAGCTGCAAGTGACGCTGCCGGAGCACTTCAAATGATTTCGCGAACAGGAGATTCCTATGACAAAGCGGTTCCTCAGCTCAAAACCCAATACGAAGATCCCAAACAGATAACACTACAAATGATGCGCCAGCTCAAATCGATGAAGCAATGCCGAGAGGATCCCAGATCACTTATGAACAACATCAGCGATCTCCATGCAGTTAGAGCAACATTGGAAAAGCAAGGTGAAACTGTCAATACTACATGCATGCAAAGTATGGTGCTTGAAACCTTTCCACAAACAATCCATGACGAAATGGCCAAAAAAGGATTCGATTTAGATAAAACTTAGACAATGACAGAGTTGCTAGATAATCTCATCCTAGCAGTTAAACGTAACGAGCATATAGCAAGTCTGAAAAATACAAGTAACAACGATTATACTGTATTTCATACTAGCTTAAGAACAAGCCAAATAAGACACTGCATTGGATGTGGGCATCCCATAGGTTCGAGTTCTGCAACAACTACACTACAATACCACGAAGAATCGAGCGTCTTGAAGCACTCAAGGCATGCTGGAAGTGCTTCAAGCAAAATCATTCAACACAATTTTGCCGCAGGCGGAACTGCTTCTACTGTTGAAGGAACCATAACCCATTGTATGCAGGAGACAGCATAACGCAAACGTAAGAAATCGGCATGAGTTTGTTAAATACACACGGAGCAGAAGCTCTTCACCGTTGCATTAAGGCGCGATTCGCTCCAAAACTCACTCTCACGTCAAAGAACCTTCAATTTCACCCGCCAACCTTTCT